AAAGTTAAATATTAATATTTAATAAAATAATTTTTAAAATTTTAAATTAAATTTTTATTAAATAAAATAATATAATTTAATATTAAAATTTTAATTTATTTTGAAAATCGAGATAGATATACAACTTTTTCCTTATTATTTTACATTTTTTGTATTAGTAAGTATGAAAAAAAATAAAAGTTGCCATCTTAACCTTAACCTTAAAAAGCACGTGATAGTAACCTAATAAAATTATTTATTAGGAAAAATAAATAAATTATCAGTTGTATACTATTAAAGAAAATTACCTAAAGATGCATATACTTGAGGGAGTATAAAAGGAAAAAGGTAGCATAAAAACTTGATTAGAAGATGAAACTTATACGTTGCTACTTAGCATTTCTCCATCGTACAACGGAGAACTCAAGCCATAACTGATCTTAGATATGAGATTGTGAGAATTGTTATGAGAGTGGCATTATTTGTACCCCTTTATAACAATCATCTTATTTTGTTTATTTTTGTTTCATTTGTTGACTGCAAAAAAAAAAAAATTTTAATTTGTATTATTTCTAAAATTAAAATGGGGTGTTTAGAAGATTTTTAAGGGGATAGTTTTATCTAACCTTTTCGTATGATTAAGGTACATTCATATCATTTAGTTTGAGAAGTTAGGCAATAACTTCAAATACATTGAAACTGTTATGAAATCACCACCGTGCACGGAGGCCCCGCTACCGCTATCGCCACCGCCACCACCCAGTCGCCTCTCCATTTGAGTGTGAATTAAACTCTCTCTGCATCTCTCTCAAAATGTCAAAAAGAGAATGCATTCCTCATCACCAAGTGATGAATAATCGACATCCGTACTGTAAGGATAGGTCCGAGATCCTTAACCTCGGGCATACTGCTGCAAGTCCTTAATAACCGAGTTGAAGTTAAATCCAATACTTTCCAATTAAACGACTGCATGATAAATACAGTGAATATGCTCACACTGGATTTACCATATACAATTTTCCAATCTCGAAATTATAGGACACGTCATATTCCAATTATCTTGTTAAGCAAGCCACATGGACATCTTATTAAGACCTATAAATACCCTTAGGAGTCACCTTAGAAAGGTAATTGAAACCGACCTAAAACTCATTTTTTTCATTATTCTAGAGGGTAGATCCGATTATTGTTGATTTAACCATTAGAGTATCTACTTGAGGACCCACCTTGAGGCTTTGCAGGTTCATCTGAAGTGAAGACGCGAAGTGAAGAAGGACTTCTGATTTGGTGCAATTACACGTATTTCTTCTAGTATTCCTTTTCTTCATCCTTACCTTATCCCTTGAACCTTAAACATCATAAAAAGTCCAAAGAGTTTCTTCTGGTTTAGTTTCGATCCACCATGAATCCAATCCAGAGGGTTATGGTATTATTCGGCATGCTGATGTTACCGGTGATGGCACATGATTACGGTGACGCGTTAACGAAAAGTATATTGTTCTTTGAAGGACAAAGGTCTGGGAAATTACCCCCTTCTCAGAGGATGACTTGGAGGAAAGACTCTGCTCTTCGCGACGGTTTCCAGATTGGTGTGAGTATGCATAGCTATTCCAGAATAAAGGTTTTGAAGTTAACGAGTATCAATTCGGCTGAGTTCTTTTGAGTAACTAATGCAATGCAACTTTCTGTTACCTTTGAAATGTTAACAGGTTGATTTGGTGGGGGGTTACTACGATGCAGGCGATAACGTAAAATTTAATTTTCCGATGGCATTCTCAACGACAATGTTGGCATGGAGTGTGCTAGAGTTTGGCGGTTTCATGGGGTCAGATTTTCCGCACGCAATTGATGCAATCCGGTGGGGAACCGATTACTTTCTCAAGGCCACAAGCATTCCTGGTTTTGTCTTCGTTCAGGTCGGTGACCCCTACAACGACCACCACTGCTGGGAGAGGCCTGAAGACATGGACACACTCAGAACCACTTACGCAGTCACCAAAAACTTGCCAGGATCAGAAGTTTCGGGTGAGATTGCTGCTGCACTTGCTGCCTCTTCAATGGTGTTTAAGCCCATTGATCTTGCTTACTCCGCAAGGCTCCTCAAGAGAGCGAGAATGGTACTTAACGTGAGATTTTGTTTTCATCTTTTAAATGAATACTTAACGTGTTCAATAAGTAACAACTAGCTTTTCTGCACAGGTTTTTGAATTTGCAGACAAGTACCGAGGATCATATAATGACAGTTTGGGGCCGTGGGTGTGCCCCTTTTACTGCAGTTACAGTGGATATGAGGTAGTGTTTTAGAATTCAGACTAGTGTCAAACAGACATTTTAAAGGTAAAATTCAGAGTTGAGATTTAGATTCGAAGTTAATAAACTTACTAGGGAAAATGTTTTACAGGATGAGCTAGTGTGGGGAGCAGCATGGTTATTCAGGGCAACCAAGGCTGCATATTACTGGAATTATGTTTTACAGAACATAAACAACCTGGAGAGAAACATAGGAGCCTCATATTCCAGTGGTAGCTTTGCAGAATTCGGATGGGATACCAAGCATGCTGGTATCAATGTCCTCATTTCGAAGGCAAGTGCTTCACAATTTTTTGTTCCTCGTTAGAAAATTAAATGGAATGCTCAACACTTTGAGCTTAATCTAGCTTCCTGCTCTTGGTTGTTGGTTCTTCTTTGCAGTTGATCATGACTGACAGTACTGCTAATTCCTACCCATTTGTCCCCAATGCTGACAAGTTTGTCTGCTCAGTGTTACCGGAGTCACCCACAGTATACGTCTCATACTCACGAGGTAGTTTTCCCCTGACTTGATTGATTATAATTTCATCATTTGTCTCCTTATTTTCCTTGAAAGAACATGCCTGCAGGAGGGCTTATTTTCAAATCCGGAGGAAGCAATCTCCAGCATGCCACAGCTCTATCGTTCCTTTTCCTTGTTTATGGACGCACACTGAGTCAAGCCAACAGAGTAGTCCACTGCGGCAATATTGTTGCCAATTCAGCGAGGCTAATACAATTTGCAAGGAGCCAGGTAGGACACACGCACACATCATGGTTTTCAATCAAATATCCACATTGCATGATTTCTAACTCATTCAGGCATTTCATCGAACAGGTTGACTATATACTCGGAAGCAACCCGTTGGGCATGTCGTACATGGTGGGATACGGTAGAAAGTTTCCGGAGAGGATACACCACCGTGCTTCGTCATTACCGTCAGTGAATCAACATCCAGAGCACATTGATTGTAACAGAGGATCTTCGTATTACAACAGCAACAACCTCAATCCCAATTTGCATCGGAGCTGTCGTGGGAGGGCCCGATATTAAGGACTCGTATGCTGATTCCAGAGCCGATTTCGTGCAGTCAGAGCCAACTACGTACATAAATGCCCCATTTGTGGGTCTCTTGGCTTACTTCAAATCACATCCTTCCCAATAGAATTTCTTACCACCTGTTTAGTTTGACTATAGTAAACATGTAAAATTTGTATTTAGGGCCAGCGTTACCGCAGCAAATTAATTGTCCGAGATTATAGTGAGAGAATGAACAAAGTTTTTGATATTTTGTAGGAGGTTAATATCAAACTAATATACTATAGTTTGAGATTGTAAATTTATAATACAATATTATAAGTATATTTTTGAATAAAAAAATTAATTAGATAAGATATAAAATATTATAAATTTATAATATTACGTAATATTATAAATATAACTTTTATTGTATGTCATTAATTTTTTAGTCGAGTATGGTAGAAAATCATTCACCAAAATTAGAAGTTAACAGGCTAACAACAAACAAAAACCCAACAAAGTGCCAAAAGAAAAATGAAAACCCAGAAAGAATGAAAAGAGAAAAAAGGAAAAAAAAAGAGGAAGATGCAGAATCAAATTATGATGAAATTCAACCAGTAATAGATCAAAAAATTTGGTTGTAGAATTACCAAACCTACCAGCCTTCCCTTTGGCCGGTTGGCCATGTATTTAATTTCAGAATGCTTGGGTCATGATGGCTCATTGGTTTGAAGGTTGGGAAAAGAACCGAAGAGCAGAGCACTGTGTTAACAATTAATTGCTACCCATTGAACAGGGTATACTATTGGAGCATGATTCTTTTTCTTCGTAATGCTCTCCTATGATTTGCTCTATTTGGAAAACATAATCGGTGCGTAAATTTTTCAAAATATAATTTTTCTTTTTGTAATCATGTTTGTTATGGTTATTGAAATATAATTGAATTTAAATTTGGATAATTGTATAATTGAAGTTGCTTAATCATTTTGGAACTCAGATTATCAAATCAATTTGGATAAAATTAAAGCTTATTTTTTCTTCCTCAATAAATTTTATTTAAAAGCGTCTATTAAAAATTTATTTAAGATTTGTATTGAAAATTTTAAAAGGTCTATTAAGTATTTATTTAAAATTTATTAAAAAATTTAATAATTT